ATCGAGGGTATCTTGGGCTGTTTCAGGTTCTCGGGTACCCAGCTGCGCTTCACAGATGCCAGCTGTGCTCCTCAAGGATGCTCCCGGTCCCCAGGCTGGCAGTGCCCAGGCTTGCAGACATCTTCTGCTGTCAGCGTTTCAGCAGACATTTTCTGTCAGTATTTTTCCCATTATAACCTTTGGCTGCTCCCATCAGTTGCTCACACCAGTCCCCACCCATCACTGGCACCGAGTCCTTACGGCACATCCCGCACGGGATGGAGAGTGAGATGACACAGATAGTTAAGAAAGGATTTAATAAGAAGCTGGGGCAGACTGCGGTGATCAGGGCTCAGTCAGACAAGCGCTGCTTACACACAACCAGCCCCTTTTACCCTCCTCCTCTCTACCCCTTCCCCCACCCATTCCTTAATAAGTTTTGCACAGTGCCACATCCCCCCTCAAATATCCCAAATCCTCATCTTCCTCCTGCTTCCCTTCTCTTACCAGTTGCAAACTCCAGGTTTGTCCTCTCCAAAGCTCTGCCTGTCAGTTCTTGGTGGCCCATCAATCGGTGACCGGGGATTTTTGGTCTTGGGCATCCTCTCCCTTCGCCCCTGTCAACCTGGGCTGTGTCTCCGTGTGCTTTTGTTTATCCCTTCCCCCTTTAGCACAGGAAAGGTCCTTGATCAGATAACCTGAAACGAGCTGGGACAGGATGGATGCAGCTCTGGCCCGATACCCCGGGGGCCTGGAGCTCTCTGAGGGCCGTTTCACGGGGTTTGTAGCTCGGTGTAGTAAATTTATTATATTCTGGCTAGTGGCTGGAGCTCCCCGGCTTTGCTGCGGCCCTTGTCCTGGTCCCCGCCACGGGGATGCAGTGACACGCAGGCTCCCAGCCCAGCACTGTCTGGCTGGAAGGATGTTTTCCTCCTTGCTATGGGGCGGCAGTCCCTGCTGCCAGCGTTTCCCTGGGCCACAGCCCTTCCCTGGCCCCCGAGCAAGCCAAGACCCCGATGGATCCCCCCGGGGGCGCAATCTGCCTGCCCAGCCATCGCTGCCCCGTGCCTGGCCCTGCCATCACTCCTTCTCCCCATCCTCCTCCTCCGTGTGGTCTGGGCTCGGCAGGGGCAAAAAATGGGGAAGTCTCAGGTCTGTACCCCAGGTTTGATCCACAGCATCCCAAACTGCTTCCTGTTTGCTGCCTGCAGCTGCACTCGAACAGGCAAGCATTACTGGATACGCGTCCCTGCCCTGGGCTTTCCGTCCCTGTCCGAGCCGCACCGGAGGAGCGCCCGTCCCCGGCTCAGCCACAGCCCTGCCCGGGCTGCACTGCTGGTGGGAAGTGGTCCCCTGCACCCCAAGCCCAGCCAGGGAAAGGGCTGTTCCTCCCCCAGGGAGGAGGGACACCCTGAATCCAGCCTGTTGTGCGTATGTAGGGACGAGGGATGTCCCAACACAGCCAACAGGATAAGTGACCATGGGAAGAGAACCCGCTGCTACCCACAGCATCCCTGCCAGCACGGCTTGGTGGGGATTCGGCAGGGCCATGGGTGCTCAGCCAGCTGGAGCTCAGGCAGGGGTAGCAGGGCTTGAAGTGAGGGGGTTGAGGGAGGTGGTGATGGGTGGGGAAGCCCCCCCTAGCCAGGGTGCGGTACCCTCCTGTGGCTTAACAGCCCGGACGATTCCTGGCTGCACCAGGGGAGACCTTGAGCCCCATCCCGTCCTTGCAGTGCTCAGCGGCCAGGAAAAAGCAGGTCCAACACAGAGTGAGAAGCTGCCGCCTTCCCGAAACAGCATTCCCCGTTCATCGATGTAAACCAGCGCCCGGCTGAGGAGCCAAGGGCAGAGGCAGCTGCGGAAACGGCAGCAAAGCCCTAGACTCACACCTGGGCAGTGAAGCCTGGTCCAGCACTTGCCAGGGCAGGAACCAGCCCATGAGTGGGGTCAGGAATAGGATGGAATCGTCTTCTGCTTGAGGAAGCAAGATGGGGATACACACGGAAGTATCCACGTGAAATACATTTATTAGAGCAGCTATAACAAAGAGAAGAAAAAAGCAACATAAGGTATTTTTTTTCTTTGCTTTTTTTACGGATGAACACATCTTAGAGCTGACAACCTCCCCAAGGGGGACAAAAAAAAGGACCTTGGCAGCACTTACTCCAACTTCACCTAAAATGCCACAACCTGCAAAGGAAACTGCTGAAGGCCACGGCATGAATGCAAGGTCGGTTAGGAGTCCCGTGGAAGGGAAATCAGCTCAGGCCAATCTAGTTCAGGAATGCTTTAAAATACAGTAAAAAAATCCCACCCCGAAGGCACACAGGCATGCTGATGGAGCTGCCTTTCCTGGTCATCCTTCCCAAAGGCAAAGCATCCTTTCCAAGGTTGGGAGCAGGCTGGGAGCACACATAAAGGTGTGCCCGGAGGAGCTGGCAGCAGCAAGGACAGGAGCGGGCGTAGGACAGACGGACAAGGGCTTGGGCTGACTTTTCCGAGGAAGGTGATGCGACACGGGGACATTTGCCTTGCAAAATTGAGGGAAGGCAAGCTAGAGATGTGGGAGATGTGGTGGTCGGAGGCCGTCTTGGGCTTAGCGACCATGAAATGGTAGAATTCTCGATTCTTGGTGAAGTAAGGAGGGGGGCCAGCAAAACCGCAACCATGGACTTCTGGAGGGCGGACTTTGGCCTGTTCAGGACGCTGGTTGAGAGAGTCCCTTGGGAGACAGTCCTGAAGGGCAAAGGGGTCCAGGAAGGCTGGACGATCTTCAAGAAGGAAGTCTTAAAGGCGCAGGAGCAGGCTGTCCCCATA